AGAAAAAGCTTGCTTATTGCTTAACCTCATTTTTTATCTGTTAAAAGCGTTCTAGGGGAATCCTATGGCGCAACCGGCTATCTACCGATTTTAAACCGAAACCTACCGATTTATTTTTTGAGATCTACCGACATTGGTGGGTAGAAGCGTGGCAGCACTGCATCCAAGAACCCAGTCACTTGCTGCTGGCGCTGGCAGTACTGGCTACATTAGATCCCAGTAACGTTTGTATCTAAAGTAATGTATAGTATAGTAACTAACAGTAATTAAAAAGTATACATAGAAAAAGACCGTATCGCATTCAAAGTAACGAATTCAAATAAAAAGTAACGAGTCTTTTCAAAAAGTAGGACTCGTTACATTTAGTTACTCATTTGTAACGATTATTTTGTAAGCGTTACTTAATTATTTTACATCACTAGAACCCAGAACTAGTTCAGTTTTGGTTGTTCTTACACTAGTGCTTTTTTGAAGTTTGCGGTTTTGCGTTACATTTATAAACTATTATTTCTATTCTCAGTACTATAAACTGTTTGAGTGCGTTTTTGGTAAGTTTTATATTATTTTTTTGTACTAAGGTCTAGTAGAGAAGAATAACTATAATATAACCATACTTCTAAGTCTGGCATGGAGCATAGAGAGGCATGTTCGTACGTTTTAATTGTATAATATAAAAAAAAAACACAAATTCCACAGATAATCCGGTTTTGTCCTGTAGCTTTAAAGATCAAAGATAGACGGTTACTCCAACCAAAGCATTACCAGCTAGGGCGGCCATTTTGATGAAAAAGAAATCGAAGCAAAACAAGTAGTAAAATGCACATATTTTACGACCATGCCTTTTTAGTTTCTGGCTCTACTTTTGTTTTATCTGTTAAATATTTTGGTTTTATCTGAATACTTTTTATGTGTGCATGTAGAATCTACAAACTTAGACTAGAAAAAAATGCTCCTGCTAATGGATCATTTCGAAAAAGCTTTTCATTAATAATTTCATCAGTACTCAGTACCTACCAACGAATTCGGACTAGGTTAAAAGAAGCCAAGCCCATATGTCGTTAAAGGATTGTTTGTTAGCAACATAACAGATCATTGTTTACACAAAAATTGACCTTGAACGAAAATTGTATTCTCTTCCCCGAGCAGACATTGTCGTGCGTAATATTTTTTTTAAAGGTTAAAATCAGATACGGATTCATTATGTTGAGGGAAAACAATGTTCAAAATATGAAAGAAGCTACCTTTAAATGTAGGTTATTTGTAGAATTGTGAAGCAACTGAAAATACATTCAGAAAAGAGGTTTTATAATTACGGCAATAAAATATGAAGAATCTAATCTTAAGAAATATGATCGAAATAAGCTCAATTCGCGTATATTACTTTTTATCAATTTGCCTAATCACCTGCATGGGTAAATCTTGTGAATGCTGACAATGTTTCATTGTGATTGTAAGCAATAAATTAGCCTCTTCTACAGAAATGATGTTAGGTTTGAGTTCCAATGCTGCGTTGATTGCTAGACACAGTTGGGCACAGCTTAAATCGAGTTCAGCATTGTAGTGATCATTAAAATTGATTGAAATCGAAGTTTGACTCTATATGAGCATGCTTGATTGAAATCAACCATATTAAAGCAATACACAATGGATTTTTTTGCTTGCACTTTAGGTTGTATTTGATAATTTTATTTTTTGCATGTATCTTGAATCAGCTCTGAAAATATATTAACATCATGGGCACTGTAACAGTCTAACCCATTTAAAATAAACATAAGGATACATTAATTAATAGAACACCCAAAACCCAAAGGAAAATAAAAATAAAGACAATAAAAAAACATTTATTGATAGTACAATGCTAAGTCTGTACATAGTATGTATATGCAAGTATGTGGATAAATCATTACCAAAGCACAATAAAAAAAAATAAAAAAGATTGCATTGATTTATTAGTTCATTGATATTGGAATAGCAAGCTTTTTGTCAACTTTGATCTGATCCTTTGATTTGAGTCCATCAAACTATTTAGTTCGTGGTAGATTCTTATACTATAATATTTTTGGAGGATCAATTTTATAGTGTCAAAAACATGATTTGTATCATAAATATGCGAACCGAATGAATCTAAGGAAGATAATGGTATATTTTGCAGTGACTTTTGCATTAATGTGGGAACAATGTTTTTCTTAAATATACTCCCACATGCCTTAGCTACTCTGATACTTTTAACTCCTACTTTACATATGTCTACTAAGAATTTAGATGCATTGGTCAATGTTCCAAAAGTTTTTTTAATTTGCAACTGTGACAGAGTTTCTTCGCTTTCTAACAAATTGAGACATGGGTCACACATGATGCATTTCTTCAAGCATTTAACTACAAAGCCTGCAATGTATGCAACAACATCTTCACAATATGTAGTCAAATGCCACACTGGAGAGCTCAGAAAGTCAATTTCATTAATTTTTCTGGAAACATCTTTATATTCCTGATTATCCAATAAGTTTTCACCATTTTCATTTTTAGTCAATGTAGAGCAATGTAATATGCTTGTACAGTCTAAAGCGACTGCATTAGCATTTTCGCTACCTTTTAAATGCGGGTGAATGAGTAGTCTTTTATAAATGTGTTCAAACTGAAATGCAGTTGGATTATTATTACTTTCTCCTCTGTTTCTAATTGCACTAAAAAAGATTTCAAGATGATCTTGTGAAAATTTATATGTTAGAAGGAAATTTAACATGTTTGTTTCTATGTATTCCTGATATACAGGGTGACTTTGAAGTTGAGTCATTAATTTTCAGATAATGATTGTAGAAGGAAGATAAACCAAAATATGTGTGTAAAAATAAAAAAAAAATAAAAAAATTTTTTACTTTGTTTTATAAAGTATCCTCCCGACAAGTATTTCAGTGCGTACCTGTATTTGATCGTGAGGTCCCCTGTGAGGTCTTAAGTCACCTGATTCACAAGCCCGTTGTACTACATTAACAAAGGCACGAGGGGTTGGTTGCACTCGATTGGGAAACCGATCCGCATAAACATGTGCCATTTTTTATTTCGTTTGAGCCACGCAACACATACCACTATTCACTGACACTGACTGTATATAAATGAATGAGATACTTGTAAAAACATCGTTCCAAATTCTTTCGCTTTTTTGTTTCCGATGCGATGAACCGATACGGCGGATTATATCCATTGTCGCCAAACACGACCACATAATATTGTTATTGAGACAGGGCGGTACTCAAACTTCCAAAGGGCAATAACTTTGTTACTTTAATTTTACCAGGAAAATGGTAAAGGAAAAAAACATTTCTTTTGATCAGATCTAATCACTGTTAAAATAAATGACTCAACTTCGAAGTCACCCTGTATATTTTGAATGCTAGTGATGGCAACCATAAAGCCAAGGAACCCAGTTTTCCTTCTTCTATTCAATACTTGCATTCCATTCAAATGTATACCTTCAATATACATTTTACAATCTAAATATGTGAAAATGAAATGTTTTGTTTTTGGGCTGAGAGCTCTTTTATAAATATATTTTGAATGTATTGTATGGATGTTGAAAATATCAAATAGGTTATTAAATATTTCTGTAATAACTGCTGTGGATTCAACATTTTCAAATTGTTGTAAATGTATATCATCTCGTAAATAACAAAAAGCATCTGCTGTGCTTTTGCTGAATGTCTGGGATGCCAATTGTACTTTTATTTTCTGACGGAACCATTCAAATTTTTGAAATAGCTCCACAAAATTTGCTTCCCATCTCAATCTGTTAAAACTTACTGACTAGCCAAACAATTTCTAACTAGTTTCAACATATGAGGAATATCAAAAAAAATTGAATTTTTGTATTATTAATTGGGTGTAAAAAATATGATTTTAAATTTGAGATATTGCTGAAATCAGCACCCAAAGTTGTTGCCATACTAATGTTTGATGAAATTCCATTGTCATCAATTCCTATGTCATCAAGAAATTCTAACAATTTTAGGACTATATTGGCTTTCTCATAGTCCATCAATGAAAAAATATCCAACAGAAATTTTCCAGTGTCCGTTTACAGCAACTACAATAAACACTATTGCTTCCTTTGCCTCAGGCATCTCATCTGAATCCAAATTTGTGCCAATATCTACATAGCCTGTGAACTTCTTTCCTGTCCACTGCACCTGCCTCATTATTGCCATTTCATCCATAAGTTGCAAAAGGTTTATTTGCCATTCTCAGCTACCTTCATTTTGATGGTATTCAAAGATTCTTTGGTAACCCTGGACCTCCATCAACAGATCTAAACCACTTGGTGATAGTATTTATGTGTGGCAAACTTTTATTAAAAGTGTTGCGGACGTAATTTATGCTCTACTAGAATAAAAACTAAGTGTTATTGCAAATGATCTGAGTTGTGGAAAAAACTTTCTTGTTGAACTGCCTTTTAGCATTCTGGTGAATAGATCTGCTGCAAGTGAGTCAGGGAGTGATGCCTGAAAATAAAATTCAGTTTCATTAAACTAAGAATATTATTTACTTTTTTTATTACCTTTATAACACTCGCAGCACTTTCTGTTACACCATGTTTGTCCTGCAAATATAATACTAGAGAATTCAAATTATGAATTCGCGCCTTCAACCTCCTTTTAGCAGATTGCAAGTTTATTATTTTCTTTCTCTGAGGCAATTATTTTCTTCGCTATCTCCCAGCTTTCTTTAGCTCCTTTTTGGGCGTGTTATTCTTTCAGTTGAACAATCTCCAAAATACCTGAGCTTCCTTTTCCTATAACAGGTTTATTAGTTGAAGATTGTTGGCAATGCAAATACTTTATTAGATGTTTCAGACTTTCATGTTTTAATCATATTTAAAGTATTTACTCAGGGTGATAACCAGGGTTTCAACAAAACGTTTGAAGAGTAGTACATACACTAAAAGCATATCAGTTTTGGGTATATAAAAATGTTTTAACAAATTTTAAAGGAAACTGAAAAGCTTCACTGATTTATATAATACTGAGTTTGATAATGTGACATTGACTGCTACACCAATTTTTTGAAGTTACTTACAACTTGTTTCTTTTTACATGAATACTTTTTGGCAAATTTTCAAGCTCTGGTGCTGAAATAGTGGAACTGGAACTTGAGCATTGATCTTTTCCCTTAAACGAGTGTTCTTGATTATTTGTAGCAGATAATGTAGTGGAAGACTGTGAGACACGATGCGTAGACCTAAAACATAGACAGAAAGATTGATAAACTAACTGATCATGAAACATTCCCATCTGACAAGAGCGTAAGTAGTTACAAAACATATTAAGAGAGACACTGTTGTCTCCATAAATCATATCATACTTCAGATAGCAATTTCTATTCTTTTTTATAGGATTCGAATTAGTGAATGAATATTCCTGTCAGATAAATATGATCCTAAACCCTTTAAGTTCATTTGTAATCAAAATATGTCTATCTAGATATTTTATTAGTTGCATAGTGCAAGTATTTATATATTTAAATGAGATAATAATATACCTAATTTTTAATATTAATGCTGAATTAATCAACTCACATTGCATTTTCTAGAATATCAATTCTCTTAGCCATGTTCTGCAACTCAGGAGCCGATATTGTAGATTTAGAACTTGCTGAAAGTTCATCATCTGGATCTGCAGCCACATTCTCTACTTCTGCTGTCAACGTAGAAACTAAAGTATCCTCAATGTTTAATATTTGGCTAGCCAATAAGTCTGGTACTACATGACTTATGGACCTAAAAACAAATTTACCAAATGAACTTGAATGTTCTAACTTTATCCCACTCAATTAATCATTTTCCTCCTTCCTGATTCAAACACAGGGTGAAAAGTGTACTGTGAAACCGTTTTTTTGCTCTTGAAATTAAAAAAATACCTTGATGTGCTTGCTTCTTCAATAGGTTGACTAACAAATGGAAGTGCATCTTTCCTCAAGTATTTCATCCCACTATGCTTTTCTACAAAGCTATCTGCCCTGAATTGATCCGAACAGATTGTGGCATTCTTTGTTAAAAGCAGATTTTCTTTCCCTAGAACTTCAAGCCATTGTCCCCTCTTGAGAATATCTTTAGGGAAGCTAAAAGCAATGTAGATATCTAACCACTTATTTTGTATAATATATAAAAATACCCCACTTGGAACGCCCATGAATATCAGAGGTAAACAACTTCCGGTGATAAGATCTGCGTTTATCGTGCTTAAAGTGCTTTTTGCACAACATGCAACACTTCACCATCTTCGAGAATAGTCCAAAGTGCTATATATTCCACTGAAAGATTCCAGAATACTCAAATCTGTGAAAATACCACGAAAAACACACGTAAACATAAGCAAAACAAAGCTTCCCCTCAATTCTACAAAGCCGGGAAAGCCGCAGTATAAAACACCACAAATCAGCTCCGCTGGTCTTAATTTGCCACCACAGCGTTGCCACGCTTAGTACGCACATCGTAGTCTTCAGGAAATATCACGGGGATATAATGCATATAATTCATATTTCTTGTCTTCGGTGCTTATTTCAGATGTATTTTGAAATGCTGAGTACGAAACCAGAATAAGGATAGCTCAAGACATTTTCGGAAACCGCTGTTATGTTTATTTTTTGAAAAATTATCATATTTGTTTTAATTTGTGCGAGTTCCGTGAAATTGATAAGTTTTGAAGGTATGATGACACTGCATCAGTTAGTGGAAACATACTATGAAACATATTAGCGTACTGAAACAAAGTTTTTCTTTTTGATGCAGGTGTTACAAACAATTTATAACTGTACATACACATGAGTTGTTCTATTTGAAGATACAACATATTGGAGACAAATGAATACTCTTTATTTAGTTATCACCATGTATAACATTTTATGATTATTTATTTTTTGCACTGCTCAGTGTTATCATCTTTTGATTGCGTGAAGGCAGTTGTTGATTTTGAACAAGATGTGACAACACCGCAGAAAACAGGTAGCCACTCAAGTTTGTTGTAGCTCTGGATGATTGATACAAACAAATCCTTTGTTTACGTCTTCTACCCGTATTCGAATTCGTTGGTACCTACCCAAGAAGCAAAACATTCCCTAGCTGGCACCAAAAATATTTGAATTAGTGGATCCTCACCAGTTCATGAAATGGACCCTATAAGAAAAATGCACTGACCCATAGGAACTAATTATCACAGTTTTTTCAGAAATACGCTCTGACCCATGTGAAGTATAGATCAAAAAATTTTTCTGGAGACATGAAGTTTTGTAAAATTTTCGTGATCTGAATCTAACGGTTCGGTCTAGAAGACGCAGAGCAAATTTTAATTAGAAAAATATAAATTTTAGCGTTTTGCCATGTTTTAATTTTTTTTTGCTACTCTGTTCCTGAAAAGTATTAGGCTCCTAATTAATATATGATCATCTAAATTAAGATTGTCCAAGGAATTAAGTGTCTTCCAAATTGCGATTTGTTAGTTTTCTCGGGGGGTATTTTGTCAATAGTCAAATGGGTTTTTTTTCCAGATTATTAACCGATACAAAGGCCCGAATACGAAATTCAGCTTATATGCATGGGCCGATAGGTTGGCTTCTCTTCGTTACGGAAAAAATGGTGGATTTTTTGTTTCGGGAGGCATGCGAATTCTCAAACCAATAAAATAATGGAAACATCACATTTGACTGAAATATCTTCCTAACGAATGATCACATCGCAATGTAGAGATCATTTTCCAATTCCTGGACAAATTGTGTTTTTAAATAATCATATAATGGGGGCTAATGCATTACACGTAGTGAAAATGTAAAAAAATATAAATAAACTTCGAGTGTGTCTCCAGGCCGACCTGTTCGACCTAGGACTGAAATATCTACCCAACGAATTATGAGGTCGCAATTTTAGGATGCATGTGAAGGTGCTCCAAAAGCTGGTTCCACAATCGTACGCGCGGCTAGAATTCTGCGGACCGAATAAATAATCTATATTCCATATTGTTTTATCGGCGTGCGATACGGCGCGCCCCTTTGCGTTTCTCATAGGAGCTTGTGGCGTGCATACGAGGTGAGCGCGATAATTATACCCGTTTGTGTGCTGCGTACGCATATGAGTCTTATGCTGTTGCGCTACTGTATTGAGTGGTAGCTTGTCGTGTAGGATGTGCGCTTCTCCTTGAAATTAGATTTTTTTTTGTATCCATGAAAAGTTGCAAGTGCGTTAACGCGGCTCCCACGATCACGAGAACCATCTCTTGGGGCAACGGGGCGATGAAAAGGAAACGTCAGTGGGCTGGTCTTAGACGGTCGTCGGGGCTACTTTTAAAAGGAAAGGATAACGGCAAGCGCGTACCTAGGTAATTTTCCATAATAACTGAGTCGGATTTCGATTGGCGATCTAGCCCTAATAATCCCCATTATAAATATCCGAATCTATTCTTCCCTACTGTCGGCAGTTGCAGATCTGTCGACTCTCGGTGTCTAACCTATAACGCAGGTACCGATTTTTTCAAATCATGAGCACATTATTCGTCGGATTTTCGTCACTCACTGGGATCCGAAGCTTCTTAATAATAGAACGTGTTTCACATATCAAAGATTCAACATTTAATATCAGCTTCCCCCAACCTCCACTTTTTAAGCACTACATTTTTTTATGACAATGGAACCCCTGAAAGTCAAAATCGGAGTTTCGACTTTTATTGTTTTTCGTTTTTTGCCTATAGCGCGGCCGCCACTGGACTGAAACTACAAGGCTTTGCATGTAGCAACCTTGTGTGGAAATTTTATAAAAATCCGAGGGGTAATTTCCAAGTCATAGGCGGGCCAAGGATCATCAGACCGACAGACGGAAATGAGAGATACAGTTTTCGTGAAAAACATAACAGGCGTGCAAAGTAAAACGGCTTTAAGATGGAGGAGTACACATTTTTTATTTGCCGAAACAGCCTAAACGTTAGGAAATCAGTATATTCACCATCTTGGGTTTCATTTATTGACCACTGTAAGATAGATCAGATAGACAACCAGAGTGCAGTCATCAGCAAACCTGTGGATTGGATTGACCTTAGAAGAAATGAGGTCGTTGATATGTAAGAGGAACAATGTCGGAGACAAGACCGATCCCTGGGGAAGGTGGAATGAAGAGGAGGATCAGTCAATTATAACGGATATCGTGCAGGCAGAGATTAGGTCAACCAACCATCTGCAAAGCTTCTTTGGAAGGTCATAGGATGGAAGTTTGCATCAGGGGAGCTTCCCACAGCTGATCGAATGCTTCGATATCAAGAGGAACGTCATAAGCCTCACCGTAAGAGTGGATGAGTTGCGTGACGTAAGCTAGGAGGTGCCCTGTGGATTGCTGGTGTCGAAAACCATACTGCTTGTCGCTAATCAAGCCGTGACGTTCGAGGCACTCCAGAAGCTTCCGATTCATGCACCTCTCTATCACCTTCCTCGTAGCAAAGCAGAGCTATAGGCCTGTTGTTGTAAGGGTCGGTCGCAAATCCTTTTTTTTGATGGGTTGGATATGAGCAAATTCCCAGTTTTCTGGAAAGTGCCGGATTCCTAAGATATTTGAAAGTAACGCGGAAACTTCAGCACAGCGGCAAAAATCAAGTCCGGTCCAGAAGCTTTGTTGATGGCGAGCGACAAGAGCACCCGTCTTTCATGCTTGAGCCTGAATGTTACTTCCCACATGGTGTAGTGGGCACCATTTGAATCAACGGCACTCTGACGTTAGATGGGACGTCCAAGGTGGAGTCGGTTACATTGTTCCATCCTGGCGCGTAAGTGGTGAAAGGCTACTCTGAAAGAAGTTTCTTTCAATCTGTTTGACCAGCGCCCAGAAAGTCCGACCGACTGCGCTGTTACATTACCCTTATGTCTAATTTTTGTATCGTGCTGGTCTTTGGCATTGCGAACCGCTTCGTTATATTTGTTTCTAGTCTGGCCGTCGGTTTGTTTGTTCTCTACAGGGGGTTTTGTAAGAAGGTTCTATGTGCCTTGATCTTTTGCTGACGTGCAGTGTCGCACGATTTGTTGAAACAGCCTTGGACCCTGATTTAAGCACTTTCGATATATGAGGCATGTATCCCTCCATTCCAACGTGGATAATTTCAGTAATTGATGAACAGGCAGCCGACGCATCAGGGTCAGCGTAACAAACATCTCTCCAAGGAAAGGTGGAGAAAAAGTATCTAAGCCCTTTCCACTCCGCATGTCCGTAATGCCATATTTTTCGGCCTGGGCGAGATTCTGTTGCCACAGTTGGTTCTGTCCGAAACCGTGTGTGTGACGAAACGCGGGGACAAAAGTAGCACTTGTCACCCGCTGGATCAATAATTGGATAATAGCGAACGCTGCAACAGCAAGACCGGCCGCATCGGTCTTGGATGAGCCCAACCAGAGCTCATTATGGTTATTGGAATCTCCGAGAACTACCTCTAAAGCGGGGTATTTGATGTTCAGGAAGTCGATCTTGACAGCGAGGTATTCAAGTAGGTCATTCTAGTTATGGTCGGAAGGAGAGGGATATACGCAGCAGATAAGTTTGCGGGACGTTTTGGAGTTGAGACGAAGCTACACAATGTCCTTCCGACTTGATTCCAAAGAAACGCCTCTGGAGAAGAAAATACTGCTGCCGACAAAAGCTACAAGTCCCCCGTTCTTCCTAAGATAGGAGTGCACCTCGTGATTTGGGAAGGTAAGATGGTTAATCGGTGCATAATCGGAGATTTTGGTCTCCGCCAAGAAAAGCATGGCGGGACGATTAGATTGCAGGTAGTGATGAACAGCATTAATGTTGCTGTTAATCCCGCAGA